AAAAAAAAAAAAAAAAAGGAACGAAGCCATTCTTTTTTTTCGAAAAAGTCATAAATTGAAGTACATATCTTAGCTCTATCTCGGTGCATGTGCCGATATTGAATTCCATAGCGTAGCAGCTATTGAGATCGTATACTTGATACTAACTCACGTATCAAAAATAGATCACATTCTATCGATCCTCTGCTTTGCATGTCTAATAGTGCGTAAAATTTAATACTGAGGCACTGAGAGTGATCCATGATCCGCCGTTGCCTTGTTTTATCTAGGTCGTAACTTCGAACAACTCTGCATTTAATTGGTACTATTCGGTGTATAGACACCGTAGCAGTGGCATGTGCCCAGTCTTTACAGACTGCAATGCAATTCACCAGTTTCCCATCCCCAGAATGCAATGCGAAAATACGGGGGGAACCCTCATTTGCATAGGGCTGGAAGGCATCGGAATGATCCTGTTGACGTTAAACAGCTTGTTTTTCTCTGTGTTTTGAGGTGACGGGGCATTTTATGCTCAACATTACTATGGACCGAATCTGACAACAAATAGAGAATAAAGTTTTAGTGTTCTTTTCAACATGGAACATGTGGTTTGTAACGTTACAGCATCAGTATAGCGTTACCACTTTAACGTTACAAAACACATATTCCAAAAAATTCATTCTCTATTTGTTTTCAGATTCAACCCACAGTAATTTAATTAATGTTGAGCATAAAATGCCCCGTCACCTCAAAACACAGTGAAAAGCAAGCTGTTTAACGTCAACAGGATCATTCCAATTCCTTCCAGTCCTATGCAAATGAGGGTTACCCCCTATTTTCGCATTGCATTCTGGGGATGGGAAACTGGTGAAAAGATTCTCTCTGGGTTCGAGAAATAAAAGAGAAAAATAATTCATGAATGCTTTCATAAAAAGTTTTCTTCAAGTTTGCTAAAATATTCATTGCAGTCCATTGTGTCCACAGGACGCTTCAAAGAGTGGAACGACATTTGGTACACCGTACGTACGGCGGCGTCCTTTGGATTGGAGAAATTCTGTGCCATAAAAGTCTTGTCAAAGTACAGTTCTCAGTCATAGAACTCTATTAGAGAGACCATCTGGACATGCAGCTTGAGATTCTTTATGTATAAGCCAAGATGGGCACCTGAAATCATTATGGAGCTCACGAGGCAGCTACAGGAGTAGTTTAAGACCTATAACCAAGAATTGCCACACCATTAACGCATTATAAACCACTCCGGTTTTTTATGAATGGTACTGCATGATATAAAAACTTCTAGAAACTTTCGCGACTATCACAATATTAGATTCTGCCACGGCCTGGACATTAATGTGGCTAAACTGACTTGTAATCAGTAGACCTCATCCAAAACAAACTGCACACCAGCCTATGTGTCTTTGAAGACATTGAAATGAAGGTAGTGATATTTTGGACCATTGTTTGAGGCGACGTGCATAGCATATGAAAACCAATTTACTTGTTCTGATGATCTTCTCAGCAACACGTATGCAAAAAAGGACGTAGACGATCCAAAACACAGGTTTCTAGCCTGCAAAATACTACTTTGACTGTATTGCAAGATAGCCGTAAAGTTATCATTTCAATAACAGTACTTTATTTCAAGGACATATCATTTCAATAATAGTACTTTATTTCAAGGACAAAGTTATTTCATTCAAAGGGAACAATGGAAACGTTGTTTACAATCATCCTACTTCTGGCTATTTGGCCGGAAGCGTTTTTGATGAATACAACAACCGTAAGGTTGAAGTTTATATCAGAAGCAGAGACCACAGTGTCACCAGCCAATCACAGCATATTTGAAATGAGCTACGCTTCATCCAACAAAGCAAACGCCAAAGTTCCTACTAAAACACAAACTTTCCCAGATAACGATCCACCGTCCCCCGGCGTCGGCAGAATTGAGAGCCCGTCTCTATCTCCAACGTCTCAGACATCCGATAGGGGCGGGACCCGGCCGGTAAAATCATTATTGGAACCTATTACCAGAGGCACTAATCATACGGCAAACTCAAACAACTCATCTGGGGGTAATTACGGCGTGGAGAACAAAGATGTAATGAAGTGGTTGGAAAGACAATCTGACAGGCTCATCCTAGAGGACAATGAAGAACCATCGGACGACGGAAGTGGATTGACGGAGCCGGCCATAGATAAGGTCACTGATGCAGGCGACGGCAACTTTGGATATCCGGATGCTCGTGACAGAATTGATGAGACCAGAAAAGAGACAAAGATGCAGTCCTTCCTGAAATTACCCCAAGACGGCAACGATCTTTTGGATGATGCGGAATCTGCTTTCTTGAAAATGTCGATAACGAAGAGGAGCAACTCTTCTTCTGGCTCTACAGTCATCAACGAGAATGATCGGGAAAGCTTATTGGCTGGTTCTGTGACTAGTTCAAAACATGAACGGGCATTCACCCCAACTTTATCCAACGGAACAAGGAACGCATCAATTCAGAAACACCAGCTAGACCCGCTGGACATAGATGCTCCTGCATCCGACATACTCCAGATGCAAGATGTCAAACTATCAACGAAGCCTGAGGACCATGGGGTGAATAAATCTCTGACAATGCGACATCGGAATAACACAGGGGACATGGAGACGCCATCCGCACTTGGAGATGGGCCAACAAATGGCTCTCTTATAACGTTTATCAATTCCACTGCCATTAATACATCTGTTAACGCAAAGGAAACCGTCAGTCATTCGAAGCAAACAGTTAGCAGGAAGCCCGTTGCCGTGGCATCATCAAGCAACTACGGGACAACGGTGAGAGATGATAGGGTTAAGAAAGCCGTGGAGTATGAGTTAGCCATGCCTCATGACCGTGAAAGAAACATGATGAAAACCAGAGATAGCCTCGCCAGGGGCGATGGTCCACCCGTAATGTCCTCCGCATCCCGTGGGAGGTCTCCATCGACCCGGCAGCCGAGAGAGCATGACAGTGCCTCAACGTTCAATGGCACTGTGAATAAACCGATTAGAAGCCGGCACGCCCGATTAAACAGGCTCACAGGAAAAACATACAAGAAAGGAATAATGTACCAGAAGAAGTATGAATCAACAGGACGGGGGAGTAAGTACAAAAGACCGAATAGCGACAATGTCGACGTTAAGAAAGAACAGCTCAACAATCTGATGGCTCCTGACTCTAAAGATGATTTCAGAAGTTCCGATTTGGCAAAGAGCTCCTTGGCTACAGAGGATACATATTCTACTGTTGATTTGAAAACGCGCTCGCATGACGTGGGAAACGGCACACAGCATTTCCCAACTGCTACGCCATTAGCAGCCAGAAATGATTCAATGGGAAAGTCTGGCTCCAAGTTGACTCACGTAATCAAAGGCAGTTCGTATAATGACGTCTTTGGAAAATTGCATGTTCCCTCGGTTCCACGAGCAAAGGGACAGCTTAGCATGGAAGAAACGCCGTGTGACGCAGGCATTTGTCAACAGGACGGAGTCTGCATACAGAAAGAGACTGGATTCTTCTGTAAATGCCCCGTTCTCTACTACGGCCGCTTCTGCGAATTGTCCAAAATTGACATGTCGGGTCTCAACGCGACCAAAACATCCATAACCGTTAAATGGGGTGTTCGAAACGTCTCCAGTCGGGCCAATTACACGGTGAAGGTCTCTGATGAGGCTCTACTCCGCGCTGTACATGTCGGAGATGACGTTGATATGTATACATTTGACGGATTGAAGCCCGGTCGAATGTACAATACGTGCGTATCTGTTCACGTTCACAACAGCACTCAAAAGATTAAAGACGGAGAGCCTCCAGCCGGAACATTCTGTATTAACGTACAAACTGAGAAAGAGAACGATTTGTTTTACCGACCTCTGTATGCTATCCACATCTTTGCGGTAACTGCCACAGTATTTCTCGCCATTATGGTGTTTGTAACACTCTTGACGATCTTTCAGACCAGGCGATACTCGCTTCTCATCGACCAGGTCCTTTACGATGATACTATTGTTATTTGAGTTCTGTTGTTTCACTGCCTGTCACAGTGAGTGCATGATTTTAAAGGCATTCGATGTAGTTTTAGGGATGCGAAACAAACATATTCTGGATGGAAATCTGTCTGATATTGCCATTTACAGCCATTTCTTAGCACATTTTCTTTATCGTTTCATACTTGAAGGGTTTCAAAAGCCCCAAAACAAGCTACGCGAGGAGTCTCTTTATTTTTTTGCTAGAGCTAGAGTCAGCTTACGATACAAAAAAACGTTTTCTGTCAGCGACATCGCATTTTCCTGACGGCTATTCTATAGTATAGGATTATATTGATTCAACTTACTACATTAAAGAATGGCCAGAAAAAAATTGACTTTGAAAATAAAGTTATACTGTCCTGAAATTACATTGAATGCCTTTAACGATGTACATGTAATGCAGGCATGGACTGTTTTGAAATGGTGGGTGATCTTTTGGTGCAATGCAGTTCGATGTATTCCCAGTTTCAGACCTGATCAAAGACTACACAGCTCTACAGAGCTGAACTCCATGTCAAAGTAATCATCGGGCCTATATTGATGTGATCAGTAACCTCCAACCCGGTCTGTACGCGGATGTAGTGCGTTTGTACTAGTACTGAGTCTGGCGACTTACTCTATTCCCTGATGTCTGCGACAGATAGCAAGGAAAGCATTAACGGGAAACTTTTCCATTACAGATTATACTGGTGTGGTTGTACAAGGCTCGTTAAGGATGTAAAACCCTAAATGGCTATTTGTCACACCCGTGGTACTTAGCATGTTGAGCACAGATCATATAGCCAAATTATCATGAAAGTTCATCTGTGTTGGTAGTAATCATAGTAAAACGTTGAACTTTATTCCAACACACAATTTACAGAGATCAAATTTTCAGCGACCACTGTCGCCTTCATCAGGATAATTAATGACCAATCACTTCACAACTCGTGTAAGTAAGGTCACGTGCTTGTAAACCGTAACTCTCGCGAGATCACGCTGTGAAGTGATTGGTCATTAATTATCCTGATGAAGGCGACAGTGGTCGCTGAAAATTTAATCTCTGTAAATTGTGTGTTGGAATAAAGTTCAACGTTTTACTATATAGCCAGATATTTATATCGTGATGAATCGTACAGAAATTAGCCTTCGAAGACATGTAACTACTACATACGCCATACTTGTATATAATGAGACATTGTCGTCAATGATGTCAAGTTTTGTAGGCTATTATATGAAATACGTATCAATGTGAGTTGCAATTATAACGTGTGTAAAATTCCGTATGCATGTGCCTTGTAAACTTTACGGACCTTATGCCCACAGAAAGGGGCCCTGCTGTCGAGTTACGTTTGTTTTTGTTCACGATGCTAAGGCCAAAGAAGTAATTTCTATGGATGACATCAGCGCGCGCATTAATTTTCGCCTGATTTTGGAAAAAAAAAAGAAATTTTGTAGCCTTCTGACAGTGGTCAACATGCCGAAAATGGCAAAGATGTCTGCTGCCATGCCGGAAGGTGGATGGTAGATAACTATGTAGAGAGGAGACAAGAAGAGGTTCTGATTTAATGTTTGTTTCTTACTTTGATGCAGTGATATGTGATATGTGATGGTGGCTGTGTATATGTGATGTTCCTACTGAATCAAAAACATTTGTACAATGATTGAATCAAAATTTTGAATTGTCGGAACCTTGTTTTTTTCGGCCCGTCTTGTTTTTTTCTCGCCCGCTCGCATAAGATTTGGAGTCTGCGGAGGATGTCATCCATAAAATTTACTTGTTGTGGCCTAAATTAAATTTTCCTGGATCAAGGGTTATGTTGGACTGTTGGACGATATCTCTGTATTCCCCTTTCATGTGTGGCCCACGCTGGCTGGGGATTCTTGTTGGTAATAAATGTTTGGCGCATTCACGTGTCCAGAGGATTCCTGAACATAGAAATCGATACTAGTTGATTCCAGGAATTGTCCAGAGATATGATAGGCCCTTAATAAGCAGGGAGTGAATCGCCGTTCCTTTTCTTGGGGTTTTAGACTCTAAGTCGCCGCCTTAAGTATGTCACTGGTCATCCTCGTCCTTCTTTATTTTCGTTAACCCTTTGTTCCTAACCAAGAAATTTCGATCTAGGGTACACCGGGGAGACCAAATAGAAAAGTGGAAATATCAACAATTGACAATTTAGGAAGGATAGTAGCATGCAATCCAGCCATACGACCACCTGTGCCTTAAGCCTCGGTCACAACCCGCCGTACGTGCTTCTGTGTGCTGTCTACGTGCAAAAACGTGGGCAAACGTAGGGCATCCGTGCGTGGTGAGTACCGCCTCCGTGCGGAATCCTACGGATTTGGGATCACGCAGACACGCCGTAGAACTTTAAGTGCATGTAAAACTTTTTCTACGTGCGGTCTGCGAATTCACCACCCGTGCGTGCGAGTACGAGCGACGCGCGTGCCCCGTACGTGCCGTGCGGAAGAAGCACGTGTGAGTACGGCCTCCTTACGGTAAAGTTGCAATCGCACAGAGATCGTACGTTGTAAGCACGTACAACTCACTACCCACTTGCGCAACGAAACTTGGCGTGCAGACCACACTTTACACTTTGCGCAACCGTACGAGTGATGTGCGAGTGACGTGCGTAGACTCCACTCCTTCCCCACGTTTTCAGAAAAAAACGTAGCAGACGTAGCCTCCAAAAAAAAGTACGGACAAAAAGCACGTACGGCGGGTTGTGACCAGGGCTTTACTGTACAATTGATTTTGTTATGTGATGGTTGACACTCCGCCCCTCAGCAAGTACATGGTAGGGGCAAAAACTAGATTAGACGAAAAGATGGCATTAAGAGTAAATGATGCTATTGTCAGTGATAAAGTGCTGTAGTTAACAATTCCATTAGTGGACTGAGAAATTTACAGTGGGGCTTTAACGTCCATTTAAGCCTGTTCGTCAGTAATCAAGGAAGGCGTCAGAAGAGAGAACACTTAATTCGCAGTGGATTCACTTTGCCTTTCAACACAAACCCCTGGAGACGGTTTGAGGAAAGTTTGGGGTTGAAGCAATTACGTACACTCGATTGCTGACTGCCGGCCCTGGTGAATTAAACTTGACGAGGTACAATTCGAGCATATCCCACCAGAGGTCGTTACTTTTCAGGTATGCAACGCCAAGGCGAGGGGACTATTAAACATTGGTTGGTACGCCTTCTAGTTATACTTCAACATAAACTTTTTAAAAAAATGTTTCAGAGCAAAATGAAAACACAGAAACACACAACTGATTATGGTGCAATCCTATCATCGTTTCGACTTTCTTGAAATTATCCATAGATAGAATAGCAAAGTTCTTTTTATCACAACCATTTATTTTTCAAGCCGACGTTTCGATGACCGTCTGTCATCTTTATCAGGGCAATTCTGACTGGTTTACTGTGCACTGACACTATATGTTACTTGGTGCATAGTGCACTAAAGGTGTTTCATAGTTCATAGATATTTTTAAAGCTTAAGCTATTTTTTCCTGCTATGGATATAGCTATGAACTATGTAACACCTTTATTTAGTGCACTATGCACCAAGTAACATCTAGTGTCAGTGCACAGTAAACCAGTCAGAATCGCCCTGATGAAGATGACAGAAGGTCATCGAAACGTCGGCTTGAAAAATAAATGGTTGTGATAAAAAGAACTTTGCTATTCAGTCGTTTACCAACCTGATGAAATTATTTACGGATCTATAGATAGAGTTCTGGGGTATTCTTTCTCAGAAATGTACTAGTATCAGCATGGAAGAATTGTGGCTCTGAACATTTTTCCAACCCCCGTATACAAGGCAACATTCGCCCAACTTTTCGAGAACAGCGGAATGTCAACCTCTGGCACTCATCCAGTAAGCGCACATGCTTCCCTCATCTTTGTTTTATCAACAAAACCTGTTACATAATGAAAACTATCGTCACATGTTGTTCAATACTTGCATGTCAATTAAAGCTTTTTGGAGCGCCATTCATTCAAATGAACCACAAGTTAGAATAACCAACTGATTATTAACTTTCGTTGAGGTATTTTGTAACACATTTGGTACATTTTTCTATGACTAGACAGTTCTTTAAATCGTATCAGCTGTGTGGCAAAAGGTCAAAGTATTAAAGGCATGCCAGCGCCCTGCCAGTGCCCCCCTCCCCCCTGGCATGTCCTAAGGCCATGTTGATTTGATTTTATGGATGACATCCTCGCGCGCATTGATTTTCGCCTGTTCTCAAAAAAAATCACGTCCACCGAGGTTCTGGCCTGGCTCTAGGCATGGTAGTTAGCGACAATACGGAGCCGGGCACCCAGGCTCCACGACTCAAGAACTCAGTACATACGTACAGTGCCGATTCATAAATTCCGCAAAAAGCCTGCATGTGCCGGCTTGTCGTGTACGTCGCTAAGTACTGCCGCAAATTCACAATACCAGCTTTGTATTCTTGTGGTTTAGTAGCATTTTTATTTTTGGCCGTTTTTTTTTTTTTTTGTATTCGCTGGCGCGCACTAGTTTGGGGGTCTTCGGAGGATGTTATCCATAAAATTAAGGCGGTCTGGCCTAACCTTTGCCCAAGATCAAACAATTCATCTTCTAAGCTGCGACGGATCATGTCGCACATTCTCGGTTAGACGAATCAAAGAAGCTTTCAACACAGTGTTTGAAGTTTCTTGATTAAACCGACTTTGGGGCTTAGGCCACAGCAAGTAATTTTTATGGATGACATCAGCACGCACATTAATTTTCGCCTGATTTTGGAAAAAAAAAAAGAAATTTTGTTGCCTTCTCACAGTGGTCACCATGCCGAAAATGGGCAAAGATGTCTGTTGCCATGCCGGAAGGTGGATGGCAGATAACTGTGAGAGATCGAGACAAGACAAGACTCTGATTAAATGTTTTGTTTCTTACTTTGATGCAGTGATATGTGATGCTGGCTCTGCACATGTGATGTTCCCACTGAATCAAAACCATTTGTACAATGATTGAGTCAAAATTTCAAATTGTAGGAACCTTGTTTTTTTCGGCCCGCCTTGTTTTTTTTCGCCCCCTCGCATTAGATTTAGAATCTTTGGAGGATGTCATCCATAAAATTTACATGCTGGGGCTTACTATTACACACACAAGGATGCATGTGCAGGAAAATTTGGCACACCTTTGAAGAAGGCATTGTGATAATAGAATCATAGCAAGCAAACGCATATGTCATAGAAACCATAAACAAGGAACTTTGTCGAGTGATTTAACCATGTTGCGAACCAATTTTCTTAAAACAAACGTATAATGGGGTTTTATAAGGCTTTTAACTTTAAGGTAAGCTTGATCTGTCTTACTATAGCGTCGTTATGATATGTAACTAATCTAATATATTCTCAGCGTGATTCAAGATGTTCACGTGGTGAATAAAACCTCATCAGAGGAAAAGATCAAGAAGAAAACGAACATCTTAAAGCCAGCTTTCAATGTAATCTGACTCGACTTAAACATAAATCCGACTTACACACAAATCACATCACAGAAAACTTTGTTTACGCAACAAAAGTACAGGGACGTAAGGTCTAAGACATGTAGATATACAGACAAATATACATGGGTACAACGAAAATATCCTACGTACAAAACAATAGATGGGTCAACTAATACTCGTACTACTTGTTCTAAGGTCTAAACATTCTTTGATATATTACCTATTTGTACACAGTAAGGGTTATTACCTTCTAGGATGAAATTAAATTCATCTATAGCATGAAATGTAACAAATTCTGTTGAGCAAGCGGAGAGAAGGTTGAACAGCTTTGCGCGTTTATCGTTATATAGTGTGCAATTCAAAATAAAAAAATGTTGTTCGTCTTCAATATCATTGGGAGAGAATGGACAAAACCTCTGGTCGCGAGGGATTTTCACGTCACCCTGTGTTCACCCGCCCTACTTTGGTACTGACTATAGTTTCTCGATATCTATAAAAGGAAGTACTTTAAATTAAGAGTTTTGTTTGCTCTCTCTGTAAGACCGGAGTCTGGCAGAGCCACACCCTCGGCAGTCGCTGGCAATGGTCCGGGCCGTGCGTGCGGGGTGTCCGGGGCCATTCCTCGTGGGTCTGAGATGTTAGTCAAGTCAACAAAAGCCCGCCGTTTCTCATATCATAGATATGTGGGAGAAACGCCCGCGGTGAGGGCTTTAGATCTCATTGGGTCGCCGGATACCTCCCCGTGCACCCATCAAGGTCATGCTTTCAGCTGAAGGGATAAAGAATCGGCTTTCTAGAATGTTTATCTGGATTTAGATTTACTAACTACTTTAGGCATTTTTGTTTCCGCACTACAGATCTCTCACTGTCTGTGTGCTTCCTTGCTTCTTTCATGTGTACAATGTAGACCCATTCCAGCAAGAAACATGGTGTCTTATTCATCAATTCAAGCTTTAATTTTTCTCCCATTCAACTGTATAAAATATTCCATAGCTGTGCACTACAAGTCACCATGTGCCGTTGTATAGGGACTAGGCTTTTTTCGGATCTAAATATTCCCCTGCAAACCTTCCTCCCCAACTCATCCCCCTTTCCCCCTTGATGAACATTGACGGGTGCCTCCAGCATGACCCTGGCCGGTGATATGAACAAGAGGAATTTCATTTTCGCCACCAAGTCGACACCGGGCTGTGAGGCATACTTGGGACTCAGCCTAACATGAGTCTGTACCGGTCTTCACCACGAGAACAGTAAAAGACGGGCGTACCTCTCTCTGACGGGACCCCTAAAGAAGACACCATAGGTAAGTACCTTCGTCTTCAACGTAAGGAGTCTTGGCTGTAATTGATAAGGGGTCAGGAGTATTTGCTCAAGCTGTTTTCTCTGTTGGACAAACTAACAAACATCACCCTTGAGCTCGAAAACAGAGTTTAGGTTCAGGCTCTTTTTGTTTAAAGTCCAACAAGATTCGTGAGAGCTGTGTCGCCACGCTGATGCATGTGTTTGTTTTTACTACTCGGGTGGAATTGTGTTTTTTGAGAGCCAGAGTACTTGTGTGTGACCATGCACGCCTTGTTTTACGGGTTGGGGTGCTGTCAGGGCAAAGGCATTAGCGAGGACGTGGCCTACATACATTGTACTGCTGTTACAACCGTCTGTTGGCTATCCATAAACTTGACATTGAGTTTACTTTGATGTCTCTGTCGTAAACGCCAATTGTGTCTTTTGAGCATATTCTTTATTGAGAAAGAGACATAGCTGAAGAGACAATCTTAAAAAGGTATAAAGGCAAAGAGCTGATCCTACACTTTCCTTCATAGCAAAAATTAGTCAGATATACGTGTTCGTTGTTGCTAAACTCTTGTAATGACGTGTCGTTACATGACAGATAGGGGGAGGGGGGGTTTCCATGTGTCAGGTTCAAGCGTTTACGGCTTACAACCGTCTGACATTCCGCTGAGTATCAGCCAGATCTCAAGCAGACAAAGACATGGACGTCGTTCAAAAATGTGGCACGGCAAGCTGCCGCATCTGTTAAAAGAAGGAACGACGGAAGAGTAGAGAGGTTAAAGGGTCTGTTTAAGAATGGCGGAGTCCAAAGTGTTGAAGGCGACGTGCCCGAAATGTGAAATAGAGGGGGAAATCATTTTCAACCGCCATGTTTTCTTCCCAGAACTTCCGTCCTTGTATTTTGCTTAAGATTTATGAGGAATGTTCCTTGTCGGAAAGGACCAGACCGAGTCGATTTTGGACGTAAAACCCTCACAGTCAGCCAACACAAACACACGCCTGGGCAGTTCGGAGTCAGTGTTAAGAAAGTTGACGCCCTTACATCGATCAAATCCAGCACTCCGGAGTAGCGTGTACTTAGGCCACACCGACTTAATTTTATGGATGACATCCTCTGAAGACCCCAAAACTGGTGCGCGCGGGCGAATAAAAAAAATCCGGCAAAAAATTAAAATGCTACTAAACCACAAGAATACGAAGCTGGTATTGTGAATTTGCGTCAGTACATAGCGACGTATACGAAAAGCCGGTACATGTTGCCTTTTTGCGGAATTTATGAATCGACACTGTACGTATGTACTGAGTTCTTGAGTCGTGGAGCTTCGGTAGCCTGGGTAGCTCCTTATTGTCGGTAACTATCATGGACTACCCAGGCCTAGATCCAGGCCAAAGCCTCGGTGGACTTGATCTTTTTTTTTTTTTTGAGAACAGGCGAAAATCAATGCGCGCGTGGATGTCATCCATAAAATTAAGGCGGTGTGGCCTTACCTCCGTTGAACCGCAATCTCTTTCCCAGAAATGTTTTCGCAACTTTATTTCACAGTTTTTACTGTCATGCTGACTAAGACAAATCGTATACATGTAAAAATGCTTTTCTCATACTGACGTCCTTGGTCCAAATAATGTTCGCCCTTGGTATCTGTTTGTCCCAAAATAACTCTACAAGATGGATGGTTGTCTTCAGACATCTGTAAAATTTTGTTTTCCAATCGACACCAAGTCAGTACGTTACATCCATGTTGCTTCAAAACCATACCACAAGAAACAGCTAGAACTGAGCTTTACAGACCTTTACATGAGAAAGATCGTTACACCGAAGTACAAGACATTGCAGGGAGTCGCACACAAGGTTTATTTTAGCAGTCATTGTTTGCCTACAAGTTCGGTTGGCTGACGACAATTCGAACTATTCGCGGGCTTCCGTTAGGCGATCTTATCCGCTTCAAGTGTCGCTAATGTCCCACAAACTGACAATACTATAAAACTAATCGAAACACCTTTGAACAGGCCTATGCCACAGACAAAATCCTTTATATCTATTATCTTCAGTTGAGAATCTTTTACCTAGTATTATAATTATGATGATTAGAAATGTTAGGCCACAGCAAGTAATTTTTATGGATGACAACAGCGCACGCATTAATTTTCGCCTGATTTTGTAAAAAAAAAAAAAACAAGAAATTTTGTTACCTTCTGACAGTGGTCAACATGCCGAAAATGGGCAAAGATGTCTGTTGCCATGCCGGAAGGTGGATGGCAGATAACTATGAAGAGATTTAACGTTTTGTTTCGTACTTTGATGCAGTGATATGTGATGCTGGCTGTGTATATGTGATGTTCCCACTGAATAAAAACCATTTGTACAACGATTGAGTCAAAATTTTAGAATGTAGGAACCTTGTCTTTTTTGGCCCGCCTTTTTTTTTCGCCCGCTCGCATTAGATTCAGAGCCTGCGGAGGATGTCATCCATAAAATTTACTTGATCGCCTTACTAACATGACTGATTTTGCTCCATGTTTCCATTTCGAATTTTAGTTGCATAGGCAACAATTTTAAAAATTTCACCCTACACCTACCGTGCCCTTTCCAACTGTCGACCTACATCCTTAATCACGTGATTCTCGGTTTGCCGCCATTTTTCTCACCAATCCGCCATTTTGGAACTGGTGTCGTTTGTCAAAAGCTGAAGAACGTCAGGTGACCCCAAAAACCGTTAGTCATCGTCAAAAACTCCGACAGTTGACTTTTGGAGTGCCCTAGTGCCCTAATGTTGCCTTTGGATCGTGTACAAATTTAGAGAACTGAAAATATCTTTCCTTTGACAAGAAAGAACTTTACCTCTAATTTTTTTTACAAACTTTGATATGAGAAAGGAGGCTAACCTCTTTGATATCAGTCCTATGTCTCATAATTATAAATGCACTTCGCATTTGATATCATACGCTACATATTAGGAAAAATGTCACTGACGAGCTAGGTTGTGTCAACAAGTTGGCGTAAGCACGTAAAGGTATATTTCAAATTGAAAGCTGCTGTTTTGTCAATACATACAATATGTTTTGGCAATACAGAGTCTAAAGTGAACAGAAACAAAGCAAAGAACTGTGACCGATGCTTTTACATAAGCGGCCATTTAGTCTTGGTGTCAGCTAAGAATACTTCTATCATGTTACTTTGAATGCTAGCTTTATAGAATTAATCACTTTTTAAAAGTAGACCTTTTGTTTGAACTTGGTATAAAAAGAAAAGGACACCCCCTACACTCGTATGACGACATCCTATCCGATGTAATTCATGACTACATCGTCAGGTGACGCTCTTTTACTTCGACCAGACATTGCTCAAAGAACAAAAATCATTTAGAAGTCAAAGTTATAAGTAAAAACCCCATAAAACTTCACGTGACGCTTTGACAAAGAGTCATAACATAATATTGTAATTAAAAGCATGCCTGATATCCTTTTTAATATTGAACGGTTTTGTATATTACTAGTTAATAAAATGGGTCTTGCTTTTAGACACCTAAATATTTTGGTTTTAGAATTATCGTTTATAATAATTACACTATATTTTACCTACCTTCAAATTTTGTTTATACTTGTTTCTTCTGGATAGATAAACTTCCAGGTGAAGTGAAGATTTCTCGTCCAGAAACGTGCGAACACCACCGGCAAGCTGAGTTACATAGGTATTTAACTACATGTATAGATACATAGGTACAGCAAAATTGACCTACGTACAAGACAATAGATGAATTAATAACTTATAATACTAGTTCTAAGGTCTAAACATTCTTTGATATATGTACCTAATTGTACGTTAGGGTTATTACCTTGTAGAATGAAATTGAGTTTATCTGTAGCATGAAATGTAACAACTTCCGTTGAGCAAGCAGAAAAAAGGTTGAACAGTTTAGTGCATTTATCATCATATGTTCAAGAAAATTCTCACAACCAAAAAGCCAGAATCAATCTACAAAAGATTACAGACAGTTAATGATACTCACCAACACAATACACGCCTAGCGCATAGGGGGGGCTTCAGACTGCCAAAACCAAGAACAGCCTCAGCCAAACGAACATTTCTGCACCGCTGCACTAAATCATATAACACACTTCCACAACACATCAGACTATCCGCACCTACATCGTTTAAGAAACATATCCGGGAATGGTTGAAAACCGTGGTGGACACCTCCAAACCCTTACAAGCATGGTGGTAGTAGAAATATAGATATGTAAATATGAACCTTTGTCTAAATTTTATTAATTAATAGTGATTACGTTTTAGTAAACTATTCCTTAGAAAATTGTAAGACTTAGTACAGGCCATAGTTAAGCCTTACCATGTTGTGATGAAAGTAGTTTGTAGTCAACGACTCCAGGAAGAATAGTATGTATGGCAAATGATGTCTGTACAAACTAATGGAGATCGGTCTAATAAACAAACAAACAAACAAATATAGCAGCCTGGTTACCAAACCTATTGTAGCTCCCGAGTCCTATATTTGCGGATAGGATGTTGGAATCGGGAGCTATAATAGGTCTCGTAACCAGGCTAATCATATAGTAGACAATCCATAATAAAATGTTGTTCTTACATAGAGTTGATGCCTCGCTCCCATGGGAGTTATGACGTGGAGGGCGCTACCAGCGGGGGTCCCGGACCCGTACCGGAGGAGGTTTGTTTGATATATTATTCATTATACTATAATAGAAATTGATAAATAGTACAAATGATATTAACAATAATAATGATTATTATTAGATAAGAATAAATGATGAGAATACAATGAGTCAATGAGAATTAATCTTAATGGAAATGCCAAATAGGGGTGTGGAAGAGAAGTTGAGATTTTGTTTAAGGCTAATTATCGATGTGAAACTTTTTAGGTGGGGGGGGGGGATTGTTCCAGTTTGCTATACATCTGTATCTTACGCTTAGGTGACCGGTGCAATGACCAAGTGGATAGAGTGCTCGCCTTGCATTCGGTAGGTCGTGAGTTTGATCTCCGGCCGAGTCTTACTTACCAAAGACTTTGACAATGGTTCATACTGCTTTCTCTGCTTAGCACTCAGCATTTGGGAAAGAGTGGGATTTGATATAGGAGTATATGGGATTTGAACACACAACACTACCAGTGGACTAACCCCCTGCTGTAGTGATTGCACAATTGTGTGGCCCAATGGCTACTAGACCGGAGATGGGCGCCGCCCTATGCACCACCTGGTGCGAGAAGGATTTCAAGTAACTAACTAACTAACTAACTGTATCTTACGCTCAGGTACCGGTGACGTCCGGCCGCCGGAGGTGCGCGTGTATCTCCGTCGTGCTGCTGCTCGCCATGTGTGCTGTCGCCATCGGTCTGGCGTTAGGGATCTACTTCGGCCTGTACTGGAGCGGCGCCGCACAGGTCGCGGGCACGACAACACCCAGCACCACTGATGAAGGTACTTCTAACAAAGTTTGTTTAAATTTTTGTAGCCCTCGTAACACTCGTAGCCCTCCCTCCTCTTCCCCACACCCCACTCGTACCCTCCCTCCTCTTCCCCACACCCCACTCGTAGCCCTCCCCCTCTTCCCCACACCCCACTCGTAGCCCTCCCTCCTCTTCCCCACACCCCACTCGTAGCCCTTCCTACGTATACTCTTCCCCACACCCCACTCCGTAGCCCTCCCTACGTCTTGCGCAGCTTGTACTTGTGTGTTACGCTGCACCTGTAGACGTTTTATCGAAGTAAGGCCACACCGTCTTAATTTTATGGATGACATCCTCTGAAGACCCCCAAACTAGTGCGCGCGGGCGAATAAAAAACAAAAATGCTACTAAACCACAGGAATACAAAGCTGGTACTTTGAATTAGCGGCAGTACGACGTATACGACAAACCGGCACATGCTGGCTTTTTGCAGAATTTATGAATCGGCACTGTACTGAGTTCTTGAGTCGTGGAGCTTCGGTAGCCTAGGTGCCTGGCTCCGCATTGTCGCTAACTACAATGGACTACTCAGGCCTAGAGCCAGGACAGAGCCTCGGTGGACGTGATCTTTTTTTTAGAACAGACGAAAATCAATGCGCGCGTGGATGTCATCCATAAAATTAAGTCGGTGTGGCCTAAACAAGTAAAAACTGGACAAGCCGTTTGATGACATTCTAAGGCATAAAGTAGTAATTATATGAGATTAAGAAACTATGTTTTTTTCTCTAAAAGGCTACACGACAACCTCCGCCTCAGCGGTTGTAGCCGTCAACATGACCAGCGACACAACAACCTCGCCTCCTCCAATCACCACCACCGAGACAACCTCCAAACCTACAACAACTACAACCACCCCGGCAACTACACCGGTCCCCATCCTCACACTGACCACGCGCCCCCCGGCTACAACCACGGAGACCACCGCCCTTCCAACTACAACCACGGCTGCTGTACCGGTACCGGTCATCACAACAGACGAACAACAGACGACAGCACAGGACACCACCGAGGCCGCTACTACAACCGTAGCAGCAACCACGTTACAACCGAACACCACCACAGCTGTGCCAGACCGACCGACGACTTCATCTACACTGACGACAGAGTTGGCAGCGTCTACCGCCGGCGATACCACAGTTGGCGCGGCGTCTTCACCTGTGACGACCCGTGCTGCTGATACCACAACCGCCACGACAACATCAGTTCCGCAGACGACGGAAAACCCTACCGAAGGACCCACCAGCGTAGCGCCAGCCCCTGGAACAACAGCACCCGTGGTTGGTCAAACCACACGGTCTACCGTACCCGCACCAACAACTACTGTACCCGCACCAACAACGTTCCCACCAATTCTCACAACATAAGGACTCCTCGATAGTCTTTGTAACATTTCTAGATCTTAAGATATCTTGTGCAAGATTTTTTTCCTCAGTTGCTTTTAGCCCACAAAATGTTCACATCTATCCGAGGTCGCCATTTTGAAGTATGATGATACAAGATGTGAGTTGTACAGCAGTGTGCATATAATGCAGAATTAGACTACAATTACTATGCAGGTGTATTTAACTGGCAACTAGGGTGACGCTAGAAAGTGACTGCAGTCTAGGTGCAATCTTCTTGGTAGTTGGTAGTAATGCCCAAAAGCATACAATGCAAGAAAAGTGTCCATCATAAAGTATGGCTATGGTGTTTTTATTAGGAAATTTTATAGTATAATAGAACAGGTAAATGAAGCATTGTAATATGAATTTTATGTGAATCCACCTAAAGAAGCATAGGTCTTTTTTTTATTTCTAGATTTTCGTATGTATATATATGTTTGGATTTCGAAAGAGAAAGATAGAAAAATAAACAATTCGTATTGCTTTTATAATTTTTACAGTTACTGCAACACATTGGCAATAAAATGTGATGAAAATGAAATGTTCCAGGGCGATGTTATAAAACTGAATTATCGTGTTCTCCTGTTCCAATAATCCACAAAGATTGAGATAAAATGGTTAACTCCGTGTTAACTACTTTACGCCTTTTATGTATAATTAGCGAAAGTGGTGTACTTAATTACCAGGGTTAATTAATCAAGGAAAAATGTTTCTTGTTTCAAATGAGCTGTAACAAAAAATGACTGGGGGAAAATGGAAGCAATGTCGTAAAATTACATTCTAAGTGCGGACCTGCGAATATGTAAACAAATGTAATTTTTCAGCAGATCTATAAGACTACGTTAATACTATAATTAGCCTACTGACCGCACGAACCCCTGACATTTAAACCCGATGGTATCGCTTCGATCCATCCATTCACTCTGCTGATGCTATCTATGCATGTAAACCCACTTCTGACGCGGTGCAGCGCATAAAAATCGATACACAGAGTGATGGGTTGGGTCACTGCTCAAATCCAAGATGGCGGACGAAGACTCGGCCGAGAAGCCTCCAGATGCAGCCCCAGACGACACCACAGATCCTCCCGTCCAGCCTGTTAAGGAAGAAGAGGTTGGGAAAGCGAAGGAGACGCGAGTTGACAGCATCCATGTAGACACAATAGATGGGCCGCCTGAGGAGGATTTCTCGAGTGGGAAGTCTTCGGGATGCTGCCGCGGAGGATGCCCGGTCCTGACGGTCATCATCTTCGGTATCCTGGTGGGGAACGCCCTGGGCCTGCTGCTCGTCTACCAGAGGATCTACTCTCTACGTTCAACCGTTAAGCTTCCTAAAGTTAAAGGTATAAGACAAGACAAATCTTTATGCATGTATCTCCTATCCAGTGTTATTTTTTTATCATATTGCTAGACAGTACATTTACTCTTTACAATAATGAGATACATTCTATACATATATTGCAGTTGCGAAGAAAATCAGATGTCAGAAGAAAGCATAAAATATGTTTTTTTTTTGTATGTGCTTGTTACGTCCATGGTATATCTTGTTATGCAATATTTGCGGTATACCAGTTCATGTATATATATTAATAGACTCAAACATCGATCTTACAAGACTATATTATAACATATACGTTGAAATACCTGCATATATTCTACATCTGACGTTATAAGATGTACATGCCAACGTCCAAAAAATTACACGGTTTCCTGTTTCATACATAAATATTTGATGTCACTAACACAATTATCCCAGGGCCTACATATATATTAGTATGCCCTGTTTAGGAAAATTAGCCAGTACAATATCACCACACGCCCTCGCCTATTCCGTACAATTGTAACAAATTTACCAACGACTAAGGCAGAAGTATAATAGTCCCGTTTTTCTTAATCTCATTTAAACCTCAGCACAGAAAAGTCCTGTTGTTATTATTATATATGCACAAATCTTCTCTGTACGCTGTTCTCTCACCAGTTAATCTAATCACGAGAAATCAATTTTCCGGCAGCAGTGATTGGAGAACGGTTGATGATGACAAATTGGGCCTGTGACGTCACATCTATCCCCAAGCCCACCATAAAAGGCCAATCGTACTTAAACTGACTTCACTTTGATATCAATCAGTGATACATTAACATAGCTGAAGTAACGGCATATTAGAAATCTATAATGATATCAGTAAAGAAAAAAAATAGGATGTAAAATATTGTTTTTTTAAACATCGTTCTTTATCATAGTAGTAAGCAGCAGGGCATAGTTAAGAATACATTTCTTTTTTTTTCAAACAGATGCGATGGTTAAAAACTTAAACGTTCATGTTCAAACCTTATATGTTGGTTACGGCTGGGATGGCTTTTTTCTACTGACGTGATCAAATAACACTAATGGCAGCTATACAGTGTATTATTTTTATACATTATTTATAACCATTAAAGTGCATTTTGTTGTTTTAGTGCTATCTTACGCACCAAGAGGTTTGCGGAGGTCAATATCCTCTCGGTCATTCTTTTTTTTTTCAGTAGTTCAGTACCAAGGACAGCAACAAGTAAATGGTTATTAACAAGTTATGGCCATTATCAATGGATACAACATGAATTGCTCAGATCCTTTATTTTATAAAGAAACGTACATCAAGCATGTAAACCGACAATCATCAACCATTTAGACCGGAAATAATTCAGGGATGCACCAAAGAAGAGTCGTGATTGGTTGTTGAATTTGTTAAATGAGGTCATTCACCGGTTTCCCATCCCCAGAATGCAATGCGAAAACAGGGGGTTAACCCTCATTTGCATAGGACAGGAAGGCATCGGAATGTCCGAATCTGACAACAAATAGAGAATGAAGTTTTTGTGTTCTTTTCAACATAGAATATGTGGTTTGTAACGTTACAGCATCAGTACAGCGTTACCGCTATAACGTTACAAACCACATATTTAAAAAAATTATTCTCTATTTGTTTTCAGATTCAACCCATAGTAATTTAATTAACGTTGAGCATAAAATGCCCCAACACCTAAAAAAAAACACTGAAATACAAGCGTCAACAGGATCATTCCGATGCCTTCCTGTCCTATGCAAATGAAGGTTAGCCCCCTGTTTTCGCATTGCATTCTGGGGATGGGAAACTGGTGAATACAGCACTTAGACAAGAAGAGAGACGAATAGGGGGTGGGGAGGTAGTTTATCAAGAGTAAATATATGTGTCTGGTTCCGACTAATAATCCACATTTGCTAGCTTTTATCTCAGTACCCATACGGCACTTAGACAACAGAGACGAATAGTGAAGTTTACCAAGCATCAATTTTCTATATAGGATTCTCGAAATTCACTAGTTTGGCTTCAGTTACCCATGCATGGGACAACTTGAAAAATGCACCATCGGCCTTGAAAAAACAATGGCGACTGTGCCATGACAAACCTCGATTTCTGGTCGCCAAATGCCATAACAAAAAGGAAAAACGTAAAATAGTAAAACAGAACGATGTATCTTATACTGAAGGAAGCATTTGGTACAACCAGTTCCGAGTCCTATGAGAAGGCAGCACTCAAGTAACAACACTAACATTAACTGCACTACTTAACATATGAATAAATCTGACTACACAAACAAAAAGACAAACAAAATATTAAATAACATCAACAGCAATGATGGCAATAACATAAATAATGAAAACGACTGATGTGCACCAACTCCCCCAACCCCAAGTACTAACTAAAAATAACAAGTGAATATTTGTGTGACACGAGACAATTGACTTCTATATCTTTTCCACTTGTCTCATTTAGAATCTAAAGTAACCTCTCCAAATCCAAGGACACTGTGATTAAGTTTTATCTTTCCATTGAGACATTGTCCCAGACCAGCCTCAAACCAGTTACCCATTTCAAGGACACAAGTATCAATTTGTAAGCAGAATGAGGACACCATGCCCTCATTGATTTTTGGCGACGCCTCAGGGGCGGAGCCCTTAGTATAGTACTGCGATTGAATTGCCAGGAATTCTAAATATTCCACGCACGCATTCCCTAGGGAATTCATTTTTGGCAACACCTTGCGGGTGAGGTCTTCCCTCCCAGCTGTTTTTCAATGACTTTGGAGCTTTTCCGACAGCTTGGACAGGATTATTGTTTGGAATTGAACAAGGTCAGCATTTGAAGTCAGGTGTTTCAAATGAGATGTCGTGATTGTCTGAATATAAACCAATATGTTTCCGCGTTTGGTTGTTGTTTTTTCTAGTAGTTTTCTTTCTCTTTATGAAAAGTATGTGTTTAGACATAAACCCAACAGATGAATTCAAGTTCTTTTCAATGCAATTTTGTGAGGATAAAGGAAAGACGCAGAGACAAGGCTTTCCCCGTTTGGTTGTTGTTTTTTTCTAGTAGTTTTCCTTCTCTTTATGAAAAGTATGTGTTTGGACATAAACCCAACAGATGAATTCAAGTTCTTTTCAATGCAATTTTGTGAGGATAAAGGAAAGACGCAGAGACAAGGCTTTCCGCACACTGGGCACGGGAGACTTTTAAGACAATGACAATGACAATTAAGACGGACTGGCTATGACTATATGGTACTGGCTACGTTAACCCTTTAGTCTTAACTGAGTTATATTTTCCTTCTTGAACTGACGTCCCTTGTCGTAGAAATCCTGTGTTTTTATATTTTGTATTACCACATAACAGTGGTACATCACTTCAGCACACATATTTGTAACCGGAGCAATAACAGGGACTACAATAACAGAGAACTGTATAAGTAATTACAAGGGAACTGTTCGGAGTTTCATTAGGTCTTGCACTATCATCTTCTTACAAGTTAGTTAGAGAGTGCAATCGTACCACAGCTCCCATATACACCGATTGTTCAGCATATTCATGGTTTTCAAAATGTGTACATTCTCCTCGATTCGATTTGAACCGTCATTGGCGAGGTTTTCTAAATACATATAAAATAGGTCATTACAATATATACACTAAGATACGGTAAAACACAGGCAATGTATCATCGTAGTACAGACGTAAGTAAGTCATCCCAGTAATCTTTAACTGGTGTAAGGTTTACTGTGGCTAGCAATGCATTACATAACCTGCACGTGATGGCTCTGCTACTGATCTGGTTCCCTCCCATGTTGCCTTCTTTCTGTCGACGATGCTACTACTTAATACACATATGATATCAACATGCTCCTTCTACCATCATCAACAATATCGAAACAAAATTTTACACAAAGGAGATAGACTGGAGTCAGTTGTCATGATCAGCTCTGTGACCGGGAGGCTTGAGTCAGCTGTGACCACGGCTTCTGGCATATGTGATTGTCCCGGCTTTAGCTTGCGCACTAGCTAAGGCACATGGTACTGCAACTGTATGGAGAGAAGAAAGGCTGTCATTGGTCTAATAAGGTGTGAGGCTTGTTGCTAGTGTCAGGACAAAACAACAGACAGGACTTCACACATTGAAGGTATCTATACATGAAATACACTCCTACCATTATTGTATATGATACCTGACAAAACTCAAGATTTAATGGCTACCCTCTATCCACGGCAAGTTAGTCAACAGTAATATGTCTCTCACCGCGCCTCATAAAGATCTCGGCCAAAACATATCGTGGTGCGAACGTCACAGCAAATGGTAGCGGTTTGAAATGAGTCTTCAAAACAAGGTGTACATTTCCTAAACAAGTCATCGAAACGTAGAAAACAATTGAAGACAAGGCTGATATAGAATGTGCGTCAAAAGTACACTTGACATAACACATTAGCTGTTAACTGCATAAGTAGCAGTCCTTCCGCGCTTCATAAATTAACTTAGCCAAAACTGGCCGACGTTACCAAACATCCACACCCTGTAGAATTATGGATAAAAGTACGTATGAACTCACCTTTTTATGTCTGTATCCCTGGTTGAGAGAAGGCAAAGGGGCTACGTATCTCCACGCCCGCCGGCCTGGGCAACTGTAGGGAAACAGCGGTGATTAGCCTCGTGTCATTATCGCAGGAACCGAAAAGGAGGAAAAACGCTTATAAC